TTGTTCCCAGCATGGTGTGAAGGGAAGCTCTGCTCCCAGTGACTGTAAAACAGGCAGAAAGAAGAGGATTTAGAGCTTGTGTTTTTAGGATGTTGTACGAGATGCTCACAGAGGTCCCTCCTGTCTTTCACATCTGTAAATCCACAGGATATCCCCTCTCCCTGACATAACCTGAGCAGTGAGATGAGGCACGGCTCCCCCCACGCCATGGGGCTGGAGAGGCAGATCCTCAGCTGGGGTAAGTCAGTAAAACTCCATCTAACCCTGCAAGGAGCCAGGCTGGGCTTTCAGAGTCCTGACAGCAGCACTAGAGACATCTGAGAGCGCCTGTGTTGTGCTTAAAGGCCAACATGTTTCTACGAGCTGCAGAATATATTCATCAAAAGGAAGCTGCTTTTTAAAATTTATTTACAGATTAGCAGAAGAAAAGGCTCCATGAATCATTTATCAGACCTGATGTTTTTTTCACTGCTTCCCCGCATTGAATAAAGAGAAATCTTGACAGAGCTAGACATTATTCTGCATCTCCAAAGATCTTGCAGTCATCTGCTCAGACAGAGGATGTCAAGGCAAAAAAAATGATGAGAAACCACCTGGTTTTTATCTCTTCTGTTAGCTTGCTCCACCCACATGGTATTTTATATCTGGGTCTGTATTTTAAAGAGATTTGTTTCATGTCCCTCTTGCCCTCCTCTCTTTTTAATGTTGTTTTTTTCTTTTTTTTTTTAATATTCAGAGGTTTTGCACTCAGAGCAGGGACAGACCTCAGACAAGGAGGATAAAAGCTGCTGTCATTGAGATGCCTTTTCTAATGTGCCTCTGTCCTGTATTTTCTGCTCCCTGCTAAATCCTCCCAGTCCCACCCTGGAGGGAGCAGGCAGCATTATGCATGTGCTGGGTTTGTGCTCACACACATTTCTGTGCCCAGATGGGTTTACATCTCACATATTCCCTCTCTCCCCAGCTTTTTGGTTTTTTTTTCCTTCCCTCTCATCTTTGAAGCCATTGTGGGGCTCTTGTGCTCAGCCAGCCCCAATGCTAATGCAGTTCAAGATCTGGAGTAGTTTGCCTTGCAAAAGGCACTTTCCCAGTATTGCTGTCTCCTGATAAACCCCGGGTAATTCTAGTAAGATATCTCAGCAAATTCCACCGAGAGCCAAAGATTAGATCAATTAAAATGGAATACTTTGCTTTATCCCCCTCGAACCAGCGTGTCTGAGCCTCCTGCTCCCCTCTGTTTTAGGCTCACGTCTCTCCCTGCCCTGACAGCCAATTCTCCAGCCCTGGCTCACTCCACAGCAGCCTGGCAGCTTCCTAACTCAAAGGCCTGGGATCTCTGCTCGTGGGCTAAACCCCGTGTTTGTGTTGTTTTTTCCAGGCAGTTCCATTTTCACCTAACGATAAAAAGCTGTTTTCTCCCCTGAGGTTGCATGGGTGAAGGTATTAACAAGGCCTGGGCTAACCTGGGGGCATTTCCTGAGCTGAGCCGTGTCCATGAAATAGAAAAGGGTTGTTCTGTGAGCACAAAACCTTGGGAAGAGAGATGCTGAGCTATAAATTATAGAGCAGACACTAAGCCCTCAGTGGTCCTGAGGCTGGGATCTTTTTAACCATTCCACAGCTGCAGAAATCTTCCCTGCTCCTGTCCAAGTGCCTCACCAGGTAAGTGACACAAAAGGCGGAGGAAGATCCACAGGGAACAGCTTATTTTGCAGAGATTTGGAGCTCTAGAAGGGGTGAGAATGCCTGGGAACTGGCAGGGAACTGGGAAACTGGGATAGACACAGGAATGTGGGCAACTGGTTTGGATGGTTCTTGGTGATAGCTCTGGTGGTAAAAAAGGAGAGACCTGTGGGTGAGAACTGCTCAGTGGAGGCTGGCTGGGTCCTAAGGAGGTTTCTAATTTTTTATAAAAGCAAATAAGCAAAAATGGATTGGTTTGGGGTGAAGCTGTCACAACTGGGCTGTGAAAATATGTATGAGTGATCAAAGCCCCTCCAACACTTTAGTTTCATTTAGCTCTGCAGTTAATTACCTGCAGGATGGGTGTTCCTTCTGCTTCACTTGTTCATCCAGTGAAGGGGATGGAATTTCTTGCAGTGGCTTTGGATAGAGGGGAAAACAACAGTGGCCATCAGGAGGAGAGGGAGGCACCACTGCAGGGCAATGAGGGCAGAATGAGGCAGAGAGAACTGGGGCAAATGAGGGCAGAATCAGGCAGAGAGAACTGGGGCAAATGTGGGCAGAATCAGGCAAACTGCCCCCAGAAATGGTAAAAACTAAGTCTGGGCCACTAAAGGCTTATTGTCTGCTCTATAAAGTAACTCAGGGCTCACATGTGGCGCTTGCAAGCCTGCTGACAATTTAAGAGTGAGGGAGCATCACATTGGCCTGGAGTGAGGGGCTGAGCACAGCCCAGTGAGCCCAAACCCCTGCAGAACAGAGCATAAAGCACCCACAGTTCCAGAAACCCCATTAGTGTCTGATGGCCACTAACTGATTGAAAGGACAGAGCTGAACTCTCCTGGGCACAAAGTGGCTCTCATGAATTCAGTATAAATAGGCTCCCCTGGAACCTGACACCACACTGGGAAAATCAGGACAATGGGCAGGTTTATGCATCCTTCAGGACTGGTTTTTTGGTTTTTTTCTTCCCCTCTAAGGGGGGAATCTGCTGTTTTCCAGGTGATTTATGGGTCTGGTTGGTGGCATTTCATCCCAGGGATGATTCCAGCTGCAGGGTGAGGATCTGGCTGAGGGGGGGACGTGTGGCACTGCATCCCCAGCACAAAGGTTCACACAGCAGCAGCTCCCCGAGAGCCCTGCCAGGGCCAGAGCAGCATGGAAATGAAGGGAGCTTAATTAACAAAGGCTTTCTCCTCTGCTGTGTCGAGGTCTGCAGTTATCAGCAGAGCTGGCAGCTCTCAAAGACTGAAATGACAGTAGTTGGCTGTAAAAGAGATAACTGTCAGATTAGCTGGGACATATCTCTGCTGAGGTTTTCTATATCATACCTATCTTGAAGCATCTCCATGTATCAAAGGCACTAGTTGGCCATTTGCCTCTCCAAAGTACCCTTTCCACTGTGATAAATAAGGCTCTGTTACAGGGGAAAGGCCTAACATTTCTTGTGGTTTGGAGCAGTTTTTTGGGCTTTGATCAATGTGTGGAAACAAATCCTGGCTGTTGTTTTCAGTGTTTGATGTGTTGAGTTTAGGGTGCAAGGGACACAAAATGTCTGTTGGGGTGTAAAGGCAGGGAGAGGGGACATTCCTGGCAGGTTCTTCATGGGGTAAGTGGGATTTTCACTGATATTGGTGAGGAAAATGCAGTTTAAATACATGCTTTTTCAAATATCTCCCATCTTTTCCTGTATCACTGAATTCCAGCTGGTTTTGGCTGAGAGAGACCTTAAAGGACCTTGTTCCATCCTCTTTCCATGGACAGGGACACTCTGCTTTCCAAGCACCTCTCCCTTTGCTCTTCATCCCCAAACACTTCTCCTCATGCTGCTCAGTCTCAGAAAGAAAGATTTCAGCCTGGCTTTTGCCTGAACTGCCAGGGAATGTTCCTCTGGCTTTGCAGCTCTTGCTGAGCTGAGATTTAAAGAATTTCCTTTCAAAGCCAGAAACGAACACAAACGAGGGG